GGGTAAGGCCCAAATGTGAAATAGAAGTTATTTAATATAACAAATTTCCCATAAAGCTAATTACCATAACTTATAATGCTATGTATCACTAAAACATGAAATATTATGAAAATATGTGTGTACAGATATGCTCAAAAAGTAACTTGGAACACTATGAAATCTTTTTTTATAAGTATTTATTTATTTTTTAAAGATTTTATTTTTGGGGAGGCCCGGGTGGCTCAGCGGTTTAGCGCCACCTTCAGCCCAGGGTGTGATTCTGGAGACCAGGGATCCAGTCCCATGTCAGGTTCCCTGTATAGAGCCTGCTTCTCCTTCTGCCTGTGTCTCTGCCTCTCTCCTTCTGTGTCTCTCATGAACAAATAAAAAAATATTTTAAAAAATTTTTTAAAGATTTTTATCTATTTATTTGAGAGTGTATGCACACAAGCTGGGTGAGAGGCAGTGGGAGAGGGAGAAGCAGACTCTCTACTGAGTAGGGAGCCCAAAGCCGGGCTTGATCCCAGGAACCTGAGATCATGACTTTAGCCAAAGGCAGGCGCTTAACTGACTGAGCCACCCAGGCGCCCCTATGAAATCTCTTTAAACCAATGCTTCCTCTTTCCAGGAACAGGTAGTTGTCCTTCCCAAAGTTCATTCCTAAACTAAAAATATTTCTTAATTCTAACAGTCCTCATAGCCTCCTATCACTCTGCTTTTACTGCTCAGAATACGAGGAGCCCAGAGGATAAATACAGAATGAAAAACAGTCTAGAAATAAAATCTGTTGGCTCAGCACATTAAAATTACTGAAATTTCTTCACAAGTGTTATTTGTAGCTTTGTTATTTTTCTATGACTTAAGCAAAAACAAAGTATGATATTTATTTTTTTAAGTATGATGTTTAAATCACGTACAGTACAGATTGTATAATCTGATCCCATTGCATGTAAATTAAGTATAAAGAATAGTCGTCACCAGCACCCACAAATAACCCCACACAATGCCCCAAGTGAAGGCTGTTATTTTTTTTTAAGTTTATTGTATACTTTCTAATGCAAATATATAGCATAAATGCAGGGGGGAAAAAAATCAAGAAATTATTCATAGTTGTTAACTAAAAACAACAATGTATCACATAAAGCACAGTTTTTCTAGAAATATGCATGTTTTTGAATAGCAATTTAAAAACCACAGAACCAGGAGTACCTGGGTGGCTCAGTCAGTTAGTTAAGCAACTGTCTTTGGCTCGGGTCATGATCTCAGGGTCCTGGGATCTAGCCCCAGATGGGGGAGGGCAGGGCAGGTGGAGGGAGTGTCCTTGCTCAGCAAGGAGTCTACTTCTCCCTGCCCCCTCCCCTCCCATGTTCATGTTCTCTCCCTCTCAAATAAACAAAATCTAAAAACAAAAACAAAACAAACAAAAAGCACACAGAACAGGGGCACCTAGGTGACACAGCTGGTTAAGCAGCCAACTCTTAGTTTTGGCCTGGGTGTTGAGATGGAGACCTGGGTTGGGCTCCAGACTCAGTGAGAGTTTACCTAAGATTCCTTCTCCCAGGGACACCTAGGTGGCTCAGCGTTGAGGGTGTGCCTTCAGCCCAGGGTGTGAACCTGGAGACCAGGGATTGAGTTCCATATCGGGCTTTGTGCGTGGAGCCTGCTTCTCCCTCTGCCTATGTCTCTGCCTCTCTCCCGCTCTCTCTCTCTCTCTCTCTCTCTCTATCTCTCATGAATGAATAAATAAAATCTTAAAAAAAAAAAAGAAAATTAAAAGATTCTTTCTCCCTTTACCCCTGATCTCTCTCTCCCTCTCCATATTTGATTATATATCTCAAACATAGGATACAGTATTACAATAAATGGAACTCCACAGTATTCAACTTTAAAAAAAAAAATTCCATCTTCTCATTGTCAAAGTCACCATCAACATGGTAATCTATCACCACTACAGTGGAAATCAGATTTCTAAAAATAACTCAGTTTGTGATAATAAGTATTGAATTTCAATGGCTAGTCACCAACCACACGTTTATAGGGCCTAACAAAAATCAGTAGGCAATTTCATTTCAGTGCTGTTGTGGGTTTTTTTTTTTTAAGATTTTATTTATTTATTCATAAGACACAGAGAGAGAAAGAGAAGCAGAAACATAGGCAGAGGAAGAAGCAGGCTCCATGCAGGGAGCCCAATGTGGGACTCCATTCCGAGACTCCAGAATCGTGCCTTGAACCAGACACTCAACCACTTAGCCACCCAGGATCCCTGTTATTTATTTATTTTTTTAATGGAACTTACCACCTATAACCAGATATTCCAAAAGGAGAGTTTTAAATGGCATACTCCAATGGGCAAAGACTTTAATTCTACGAAAATTATATCCCAAAAGGAATCTTGCCATGATGCCAAAAAAAAAAAAAAAAAAAAAAAAGAGAGAGGCTAGTTATCACGAACTACATGTTTTCATAGAGAACCAAAACATGGCAATAATGCCTTCTGGCTATAAAACAGTCCTTTTTGGGACTATTAATAAATAAAATCTTTAAAAAAAATAGTCCTTTTTGTGATATGAGGAAAATTTTCTTGCATGTTATTGTTTTATAATTCTTAATTTAATAATTATTCTTTCTATAACATTCATTGAATCTAATATGTAGAAATCATTAGACTATAAAACAAAAGGGAAAGAAAGACTGATAAGGCCAAGTCTCTTGCCTCACAAGGAAATAAAAATACAGAATTTTAACATAATATGTAAAGTAGTATATCAAATAAGAAATCTAAAAAAAAAAAAAGTCTCTAGAAAACAGAGGAAAGACATTATTTCTCACCAGAGGGATAGAGAAACTATCCTGGTAGAAATAACATGTGAACTGTGCCTTTCAAGACAGGCAGTAGTTGGAAATGTGGGAGAGGACAAGTATGTTCCCTGAGCAGAGTCACAAAAAGGATGGACCACACAAAGAACAAGTCATGTTTGAGAACAGCATGGTGTTCTGGCATGGCTGAGGGATAGCTCTAAGAAAGGGAAATGGAGGGATCCCTGGGTGGCGCAGCGGTTTAGCGCCTGCCTTTGGCCCAGGGCACGATCCTGGAGACCCAGGATCGAATCCCATGTCAGGCTCCCAGGGCATGGAGCCTGCTTCTCCCTCTGCCTATGTCTCTGCCTCTCTCTCTCATTCTGTGTGACTATCATAAATAAAAAATAAAAAAATAAAAAAAAAAAAAAAGAAAGGGAAATGGAGGAGCGGATATAAGAAAATTCATGAGAAAGGAAAGTAGTTATTTATATATTCTGCACTCCTCTAACACGAAACCCCTGATGGAAATACTCTCCATTTAAGGAGAATGGGAACTTCTTCATAATATTTTCTTCCCTGAGTTGAAGTCATCTGTGTACTTGATTTACTTGACTGTGAGCTCCTCATGAGCAGGACACACATCTGATTCATTTTTATATCTTTCTCAAATACCTTAAACACAGATAACAAACATTTTTTAATGACCAAATGAATACATGAATGAACATAATGACCATGTCATTTAGCTTCTCTGAGGAGACCCAGATATCCTTCTATACCAGGAATTGGCAAAATGTTTCTATAAAGGGCCACACAGTAAATATTTTAGGCTTTGCAGGTTATTTGGTCTCTGCTATAGCTACACAATTCTGTTGTTATATAGCAAAAGCAGCCCCAGACAACAGGTAAGTGAATGAGCTTGACTATGTGCCAATAAAATTTAACTTACAAAAAAGGCAGCAGGTCACATTTGGCCCACTGACCATGGTTTAGACTCTTCATCTATACAACTTAAATTTAGTACTTTATATTATACAGGCACATTCAAGTCACTTTGTGACACAAGGACAGAACTCAGCCAAAGTTTCAAAGAAGATAACAGAAAAGAATATAAATGGGAAAATGTGGCTATACTATACAATCTATAAACTTGGACCTTTGGCTGTTTCCACCTAATATGCCCTCTCCAGACACATTAGCTATCTGTGTCACCTTACATCACAATTTCTGCAGGCCTCAGTTTTTCATCCCTTAGGCTCTACTTTTTAATCTTTCAATTGGTTAAAATAGATCATTCTAAACTAGAACTCTAGGATCTTAAAAACTATCCAAATTAAAATTACTGATTTTAAGTGGAAATGTCATCTAGAAAATTACATTCATAAATAATTTTGAATGTATGAAAGAACAAAATAACAAGCATTTCACAGAAACAAAGTAAAACATATTAAATAATAAATTAAGATATCTTAATCTGGTGTATAACTGGTGTACAAAACATTCAAAATTCTATTTTAGCACCTGAAAACTAAGGTTTCAGTACCTTGTTGACTGTAGTTATAAATTCACCTGATAAATCAGTTCAATTCACCCAATCAGGGTGGTAATATCTGAAAGAGACTCAGATCATCAAAAATCTTTCCCCAAAATAGACAAAATAGTAAGATTTGATCTTATATGCCATAATTAGTGATGAATAGGGAAATAATGCTGTTGTATAATAATAAATCACTGGACTCCTTGACATAGCTACGAATCTGAAAAGCTGAATTTTTTAAAAGTCCATACAATATATAACAAACTTGGTATCACTCATTAGGTATAAAGCTGATTTTGGAACTTCTCCACTTTTATTCTCCAAACTAAGACCTGGGTTACAGAATAAAAATTCTTCACTTTTCACAAATGATTTTCAAAGAATTGACAGGTCAATTAAAACTATATAATTCAGGGACGCCTGGGTGGCTCAGCTGGGTAAGTAAGCATCTGCTTTCAGCTCAGGTCATGATCCCAGGGTCCTGGGATGGGGCCTCTCTTCTTCCTCTCCTTCTGCCTCTCCCCACCACTCATTATCTTTCTCACTCTGCTCTCTCTCAAATAAATAAATAGAATCACTTTTTAAAAAAATCTGTAATTCATCACTACCCACATTTATAAAAGTAACACCATTATACTGCTTTCTGAAATAAAAATAAACAGATTCTGGTTCGTTACAAACTTACCAGACATTTGGCAAATTCTTTGTTTTCTGAAAGGAATCCGTAACCTGGATGTACCTTAGAAATGAAAAATAAAAAGCACTTTCAATTTTATCACATCACAAAACCTTTATAAGCAACATTGTGCATGAATGTGTTTATATTTCAAGAGCCTTGAGTAAGGTTACTTTTCCTACAGTTTCAACTCACATTCCCGAGTACAGACCCAAATTCAAGAAACTGCATACAGAACACTCACTCACAGCACGCTACCTTTGTCCTAACCATAAACAGAACCATTGACCTATAAATCTGTCTGTCCACCTACATCTATTTCAACACAACCTGAACTCTCCCTACTTTTTTCTGAGGCTAATTTTGGCCACAAGCATGGAGAATTTTTTAATGGCTGGTGAGTCAAAGACCAAGGTTATAAGAAACCATTTGTGAGATGAATGAAAAACTCCTGATTTCCCCTTTCTTTACTGTCTCCAGAAATGCTGCTTTCCAAAACCCTGGCTAAGTCAGCTAACATATTTTATTCCTGACAACATGAATACACCAGCCACTTAATGAGCAGTTTTTATCAAAACTAAAGAGGAAGTCTGGTTTTACTTTTTCTGTATACATTGAATTTTTTTTACATTAATATTTACTCTTCTTTCCCCCCTTGTCCCACTTAGCATTTCACAACACTTTATGCTAGCCTCTCTCACAAACCATGTCGCTATGATTTAAGTTCTATTGTCCTGTTTTATCACACTGGCCCAACAAATTTAGATGCTCTATTATCAGTGAGGATTAAAAATATTTCCAGGAGAACAATTCTGCTATAAGGAACGCCAAATTTTGGAAGGAGCCAATATCATAATGTAGAAGTAGCGACACATCCAAGATGTTTAAATGTTGAACTACGCTTTATGAACATGGTACAGAATTCAAAAAACTGCATCACAGGAAAAGAGTTTCACTCCACCAATCACATTTTACAGAAACATTTAACGAAAGGTTATATTCTAACAAGCTATCATTAAAGGGTTAAGAATTCTACTTTCATTAATTTTGATAATAAACTGTAAACACTTATAATATGGGTTCATGAATTCAGTTACTTATTTGAACATTTATCTTACTAAACCATTTCTTTCACAAAATATGTGAGCACTAATTGAAGCACTCCAGGCTAATTGCTGGTATTGGCTGTTTCCATCCAATTTTAGAGATAACTCTGCATAGTTTGTAACATTATATAATAAGTTCTCTGATCTAACACACACACACACACACACACACACACAGTACCAGCAAAACACCATTCTTGATGTCAGAAACGAGTTTTTTTTTTTTCCTGGATTCAACAAACAGAATTAGAGATGGGAAGAATTACTGACTTCTCCATGTAAGTGAAGTGCATTCTACTGACATTATCAAATTAAAATAATTACCAATTGCATAGTTTTTATATCTGGAAGTGTAACCAAGTATACATAACTTTAAATGACTAAAACAGTTTAAACAAGAATCTTGTGGATCCTATTTATAAGAGATGTTTTTTAACATTTTTATTACACTCAAAGGGTTAATACTCAAAACTAATTGGGATTTCTTTTTTTCTTCCCTAACAAATTTGGAAATGAACTGAAACTGCTCCCTGGTGTGAAAGCTGAATCCAACAGCCACCTGCAGGATCAGCAACCAACACTGCCAGATGCTACAAAGCCTTTGATTTCCAGTAGCGAATTCGGCCACATTTAATTCATGTGACATGAACTAACTGCAATAGCATTTTCAATCATTCTTTCTTATTTTTCTTTTTTCTGAATACAAACTCTAGCTTTCTGCTCACTATATATGAAACAGCTGCAGTAGATAGATTCATTCAGACTCACAGCTTGGGCCCTGGTTTTCTTAATGGCTTCCATGATGGCATCCATGTTGAGGTAGCTTTTACTGGTGGGAGCCGGGCCAACACAGACAGCCTCGTCCGCCATTTTCACATGAACCTGAAGAGACAAATCTCTGCATTAACAGATGCTCCCAGCAAAAAGAACTACCATCATCTGCTAATATACACAGAATTGCAAATGTGATTGTTTCACATATCATTTAGTAGTCAGATTCTTTTTAAAAGTGCACTAAAAAAAGAACAGTGCAACAAATCAACTCAGAACTATATTAACCATGACTTCCATTTATTACAAGCCTAGTCATGTCTAGCCAGATAACTTTCATAATATTCCGTACCAATTTGATTAAATAAAACCCCTGCAAACAACGTTGGCCCCTTATTTGGTTCATCTATACATAAACCTCATATCAAAAACTACCCTCTTACATGTAGCCAGGCTAGCCCAATATTTTCCTAACAAGCACTCATGCCCAGTTCTAAGCAAGCTCCCCAGGAAGTGGGGATAATTAGAGAAACTGAATGAAGGGATGTAGTGAGTGTCCCTGCACAGCATCAGGTCAGCACCAAGCACAAATTAAAGTCCACAAGTAAAGAGTTCAATATTACTACACATGAGCCAGAAAATCTTGACAATCATCTAAATACTCTCACATCTGATCCTCAACGATTTTACCTTTATTCCTAAAACAGCTGATACGCAGATTAAGTTCTGAGTCTACTCAAAACTTAGAAATATATGCTCCATTTTTAAGACTACTCATTTTCCATTCTAAATCTACTTTTTGCTTAATTGAGGTAAGTCTTTCACTACTGAAAAGAATAACTTATTTCTAAAAAAACAAAAATCTATTCTTTTAAAATGATAAAGGGATTCATATATCTTTGAAATGGCTTTCCCTAAATTTTCCAGCTTAAGGAACTTCTACTGTGTTTAAATTTATTTTACAAAGCAGACATAAAAACTAGAGCACCTACATCTACCCGGATATTTATGACCCTACCTCCCCAAAAGTCTAAGATAGAAAATACTTTTGAGTATTGCTAAGTTCTACTCTTCACCCATGAATTTTTAAGAAGCACATTGTTTTAAATGAAAACTACAAAAAAATGAAACCAATTAAGTCATCTTTTAGAAAGTTCAGAGTTCTCTTAATCAATTCAATATTTTCCAATAAGTAAAAAATTATATTGTGCCCAAGAGATTTATACATCAGTATCTTAATAGAAAATACTCAAATATATACACTCTGTAATCTCTTTAATGATAATGCCCCTGCAAGGAAAAAGCAGTCAATCCTGCAAAGGGATCCTAAATATTTCCATGTTCAAAGCAAGGTTCTCCTTGTGGTTATTTCTGCCTTGCTTCCCCCCCTTAACCTCAAGTTGCTCCTCCTGTACTGTGCTCTTCCCAGTTGGGTCCCTATTACTAGCAATTTTGTCATAATTGTGGCTGTGCTTTTTTTCTATAAGAAAGGAATTGAACACTGAGCAATCCTTTAAAATGGACACATTAGCCAGGTGGGAATAAAGTAAAGTTAAATCCACATTTATTCTGTGTATTTTATTCACCTCCTGGTACTAACGACTATTAAAGATACACTTAAAGTTTCACTTTTTACCACCAGGTTTTTCCCAGGTACTTCAGCTTCAGATGAATCGCCTTTAATCTGAACTCTTATAGTACTTAGTACAAAATCTGGCATTTAATTGCATCCTGCCGAGCAAAGTTATTCTGACTGCTTCACGGATTAGGACTACTACCATTTAGACACCTTGCTCCACCAGATCAGAAAGTCCGGCAAGGCAGAGGTTGCCTTAAATTTTTCTTTTTTTTTTTTTTTTTAATCACTCCCAGCACAATGTTATGTACTAAAAACTTATCTCACAGATATACATGGCTGGCAGTTGATTTAATAACTTTCACTGATAAATCATTCTCTTTGTGGTGAAAGTTTACAGCAAATTAAAAATTCTACAATGATACTTAGCAATACATAAAGGAACTGAAGGTTGAATGGGAAGAAATTCAAAATACATACACACACGTCTGTGCATTTATATGTCCAAATTTTTTATCATAAACGTGCATCAAAAAGTAAGAGATTAAATAGTATTTTATTACTTCCAATCTTTTTTTCTAAATACACTTTGTAACCATACTGCATATATGTTTGCATCCTTTTGTTTTACAACATCTTAACAGACATGTTTCCTGTTATCACAAATTATTTATAAACATGCAGAGAATCTAGCTCAGAGTCTAACATATTTTAACAGATAAATTATATGTCAAAAGATCAAAGCTTTACAAAGAAAGACAAAACATGCTGTTTCTAAATGATTGATTTCTTTTCTTCTGTTTCTCAGAAACAAATCTTTCTTTAAGGTGCCTTTACTAGCATCTCAACAAAACCACAGTGAAGTCCAAGGTCAGTACTAGCAAAAATCCGTGGCAAAGCTATTTAAAAGAAAAAACTAGAAGCCTCTGTTGCTTTGGTCCCCAAAGAAATACTTATGAGTCAACCTGGAAAGAATAATTCTAAAAACTCTGAAAACTCAAATTTCAAATTTGTTGTTATTATTGTACTAAATGCCTGAGGTGATTTCACTGGGTTACTAATATAAAACCAACTGCATTCAAGCCATGTAGGTGGCTCTTCTGAAGAGCAACTTATCACTGCCTACACTGACTAGATGGATTTATGTTTCAAGAATTTCAAAATCGGGATCCCTGGGTGGCGCAGCGGTTTGGCGCCTGCCTTTGGCCTAGGGCGCGATCCTGGAGACCCGGGATCGAATCCCACGTCGGGCTCCCGGTGCATGGAGCCTGCTTCTCCCTCTGCCTGTGTCTCTGCCTCTCTCTGTCTCTCTCTGTATGACTATCGTAAATTAAAAAAAAAAAAAAAAAAAGAATTTCAAAATCTTGAAAAATATAAATTCCTTTTTATATACTTTGATATGTAATAAACATGGAAAAGTTTAAACTGGACTAATCAGTTAACTAGGATATTGCTGGCTACAAGCTTCAAAAAGAAAAAAAATTAAGTATGAAGTAGTCTTCAGAAACTTTTCCAAGAAGTTTTTAAAGATTATTAATTTCCCCCTCAAGCATTTAGTTTTATATTTTAAATTTTATTATTTAAATAGAAAAAATTACTTGAACCAGCCTTTTATTTTCCAAATAATAATCTAATAGAACAAAGTGTGTTTTTCAACTTACAGAAGAAAAAAAAATCACCTTCATTGATTTTTCTTTTAAATGACTAAATACTTGGATATAGATAGATTAAAAATTGTGGTCTGAATTTTAAAACTGAGTTAATAAAAATTTCATATTAGATGCCTAATAAATGTTTAGAAAAGATATTCTGCTTGGTCAAAAACACTGCATGTTAGTATTACAAAGTACACTAGACCAGATCTGAGTGAAAGCTTCTAAATACCTTCTAACCTAATACAGATTGAAAAAGATAGAGAAAACAAACAGCTTTGGATGCTTCCTCATGCTGGGAGGTTTTCTTTGAAACTTATCACTCAAGATTTGTAGTCAGGTGGGCACTCTTTACCATGTTCATGAATACTTGAGTCTTCCTTAGGACATCATGGGAACACAGCACAAGGTGGGATACTGCCAAGACGACAGAATGTAGATTACATGTGCTCATTGACCAAGAACAGCAATGCCTCATACAATCTGTCCAGACTTTAGTATCCACCAAATCTAACCCAATTCTTTATCAACAAGCAAAAGCCACCCTTAAAGACTGAAAAGGTAAAGAAAAGAATGCCAACTACGTCAATCTTAATTTGAGAACCCAAAGAAAAAAACCATTTTTAAAAGATTTTTTTAACTAATCTCTATACCCAACATAGGGTTCAAACTCACAACCCTAAGACCAAGAGTCACACACTCCACCAAATGAGCCAGCCAGGTGCCCCCAGAAAGATCATTTTTAAAAACGAAATAAAATCCTATTTCTCAGAGGGGAAAAAAAAGAACCTTTCTCTCTATTCCATACAATGTGTCTAAAGAGACTTACACACAAATGTCAACAGACTAGCATTCTGAAATATCCTTCTAGAAAGGCAATTCATTTCTAGAAGATAAAGAATGATTTTTCTTTTTTCTTTTTTTTTTTTAAGATTTTATTTATTTATTCATGAGAGACACAGAGAGAGAGAGAGGCAGAGACACAGGCAAAGGGAAAAGCAGGCTCCATGCAGGGAATCCGATGTGGGACTCGATCCCTGGACTCTGGGATCACACGCTGGGCCAAAGGCAGATGCTCAACCACTGAACCACCCAGGCGTCCCAAGAATGATTTTTCAAAATCATTATATATTGTATTTGTTTTGATTCCATTTTGTAAAACTACATGTGTAGCACCATGACACATTTATTCATGATTTTTTTTAAGCATTTCTTTGTTTTTTTAAGATCTTATTTATTCTTGAGAGACACAGAAAGAGAGGCAGAGACATAGGCAGGGGAGAAGCAGGCTCTCCACAAGGAGCCTGATGTGGGACTCCATCTGGGACTTCGGGATCACTCCCTGAGCCTGAGCCAAAGGCAGATGCTCAACCACTGAACGACCTCGGCATCCCTATTCATGATTTTTAGATACCAGAGTTAGTGACTTTACTATTTTTCTTCTGTTACAACTTACATAATTTTCAGAGTGGTAAAATCACAAATTAAAAGTTACAGGGAAAAGAGATTAGGTTTTTGTTAGCTGCAAAACTCCCAATCTATTTTCTAAATTCCTGTTTTCGCAGTATGGAGGTTCCTCAAAAAGTTAAAAACATAGTGATTCAAAGGGCCACATGCACTCCAATGTTTATAGCAGCAATGTTCACAACAGCCAAACTATGGAAAGAGCCCAGATGTCCATTGACAGAGGAATGCATAAAGATGTGGGATATATATAATATATAAAACATATGTATAAAATGGAATATTACTCAGTCATCAAAAAGAATGAAATCTTGCCATTTCCAAGGATGTGGACAGAACTAGGAGAGTGTTATGCTAAGCAAAGTAAGCCAAAGAAAGACAAATACCATATGATTTCACTCATATGTGGAATTTAAGAA